GCATCTGCGAGCTCCAGAAGCAGCTCCCAAACGCGGCTCCACCCTTACTGGGCCAGATCCTTCCCTGCTCAGGCTTTCCTCCGCCTCCTGCTCCCCTCGCCTGGAGACGGATAGAGGAACAGTGTCTCAGTTCCCAAGACCATCGGAAATATGTGTTTTCCGATGGTCTTAGGTGACCCCTGTGAAAGCATCCTTCGACCCCCAAAAGGGTTGCGACCCACAGGTTGAGAACCACTGGTTTAGCCAGTAAGGAAGTTTCTCTTTTCCTCAGACCTGTTTTGAATGGGGATTGCTGGAAAAAAAAAAAACTTCAACAACTAGTTAAATCTCAGGAAAATAGCTGTCATGGTTCTGACAGATGAAACTCTTCAAAGAACTTTGAGGCATTGTTTACCTTAAAGAATCTTTACTCAAGTTGCATGGCATCAGCGTGTATATGGTTGAAGCCAAAATCTGAATTCTCCTCCCCTAAACACATAGTATCAAAGCACAATTCCCTCCTCTAATTAATAGTCATAAATCACATTCTCCAATTAGTTTGAAATGCAGACCTTCCCTCCAGTTCTTTTACCGCCATTTCTTATCATGTCTTATTTCAAACAACCTTAAAAAGCACTCTACTAGATGTTGTTATGTCTAACTAATTCCCATACACATTCTTCCTCCCCCCCCCCCAGTATCATCTAATTCTAACTCTAAAAGTAACATACAAGTTAAGGGGAAATTGGCTGCATCTTCATATATTGTCAAAGCAAGAACATCTGATGTTAGCAGTGTTGACAATAGCATTTTCCTAGTGACGCTGCAGTTCTTGCCCATTTATCAAAGTTATTGTTATATATATCTCCTGGAATATCACAGGTTCTGTACTGTAAAGACCATGAGATGTCATTTGGTAGATACTGCATGTGATATGTGCAATAAGTACACTTACAGTTCTAACTATCCACTCTTTTTGTGACTATTTCTTTGCTTTTTAGGGGCTGCATATTCCACATATCAGTCTCACATAATCCTTTACAAAGGAAACCAGTCACAAATGAGACACCTCTTGGGCAGCACCTAATAGATAGTTGGTGGATGGATGAATGGATAGTTAATCAATATCATATGCACATGTGTCTCAGTATTTTTATCTTTCATTTCTTACTTTGCCTTTTGTTGTGGACTGTACAATGTCCATGAATCTTTTTTTGAAATCTGTAAATAGGCAAAAGCTATGTAAGAAAGCCTCTCATTCACCCTCAAGCTTCTCATTTTTCATGTGGATGTGATTTGCACTATGGTCAGTGTGTGAGATTTATATAAGATTTAGAAGGAGAACAAACAGCAAATGTAGTTTTTTTTAAAGCATATTCTCTCTGAGACAGTGTGGCTGATTTGAGGGTTATCAGAAAGCAGTCCATGCTAGTCTACCATTAAAAGAGTTAGTCACTTGTGAATGTCTCCAAGGACTGCATATCTGGCACACTGAGAAGCATCTCAGCATAGCTGAGAAGTATTAAATAGGGATAGTTGAGACTAGTAAAGGAGATGGGCTGTTGGTTAGAAAAGGGATTGCTAATAGAGCATCACAAAGGCAGTTGAAGATCACTGCTGGGGAAAAGGAAAAAGAGGTCAGAAGTTACAAAGCCCATAGAAAGTAATCACTTCAAGATTCAGCAGACATTTCAGGTGAATGAAAATGAACTGTTGAGCTGTAGGACAGTGCTGTTGGAGGTGTGTGTATCTGTAGATGAGACAGGAGCAGAGAAGTTGTAATCAGCAACTTAGTAGATCAAAAAGTATTAGGAGTCCCAGGCAAAAGATGACTTGAAGAATAGAGATTCTAAGGAGAGCTTTGTCATTCACAGTCCATTAAGGATGGTGACAATGGACAAATAAAAAAAGGAGCCATAAAACAGCTGAGCAAAATCCACAATGGGCTAGAACACAGGTATCAAACTTGCTGCATCATGTGATGTGTCACAATGTATCACAACTTTTTTTGTATTGCCAGAACTGGGGTGGGTGCGGCCTCCATATGATGCAACCAGCTTGTGGGCCGGTAGTTTGACACCCCTGGGCTAGAATTACAGCAAGGGTGAAAGTTCCCACAGATGCCTTTAAGAGAATAATGAAAGCTGAGGAATAGGAGAAATGACTTCCCTATTCTATTGTAAGAACTAAACCCAAACCCAGAAGCTTTAAGGAAGAAGTAGAGCAAGTGACTTTGGGAGGGAAAAGAGATACAAGATATAATAAAAGAAATAAAAGTCCAAGATATTTGTGAAAGAGTTAAGAAAATGGTAATAGAGGTCAAAAACAGTCAAAGAGTGAGGAACAAGAGGGATGAAGTGAAGAAATTTTCCAGCACCATAAACTTGTCCTGCAGAGAAAGTTTCAAGGTTAAAAACTAACAGTAACTAAAAGGAATTGAGTTAAAATAAGATTGAAAAACAGGAACTCTTTAGAGATAAGGTTTTAAAGGTTGCACAAATTAGAAATCTCAGTATTTAACATTGGAGCATCTGAAGTATTTTGCATAAATTTGCACAATAAACCCTTTTTGGGTCCAATCTTGATGTTTGCTTGATTGCCATTATTCCTTATATATAAAAAAGAATCTACAACAGGTCTTCTCATGTCAAATTTTACATTGCTCTAAAATTTAAATCAAGTGACGACAGCAGCATTATCAACTATTTGTTTGTTGATTTGTAAAATTTATTAGCCACCCATCTTACTATGGGTTAACTCTGATACTATTAATGAATGTCTAATTATTATCAAACTTATATATTTAAGAAGACATTAAAAGCTTGAAATATCTTAGACTTTGAAATGTTTTGTTCCAGATCTCTGGATTTTTTTCAACCAATAGCTGTGTAAATTGGAAAAAAAAAAACCCAACCCTTTAGAACAGTTTCAGTTAATGCTGTGCCAAAACCGATCTCAAAATCTCATTTCCCAAAAGTGTTATTTTGCAAAGAGAGTTTTCTATTTCTTTTCTTTCAGCTTTGTCTTCATGATATTTTTAATCTGGGTCATTACTGAAAGCTCGTGTTGTTATTTCCTATTATATTATATTCTTAAAATAGAAATTTTAAATAAAAATAAAATCATACTGAGAGCTCCCTGGCTGCCCCTATTTCTCCCAGGCTGAGAATGCCCAGGTGAAGACCTTTCCTCACAACACTTTTCTCAGCCTGGGATTTAGCTGCACTGGGGGAAGCTAGGGAATCTGCAGGCCATTGTGCATTGTATAATTAAAATCAGAATATTCATGTACATTTTTTGTCCAACTGAGTAAATGCAAGAACCACAAGATTTTATTTTTCCTTTTGAAAGAAATTCTGAAAGCATATTTTCTTTTAAGTTCAGTGAGAGCTGTTTTTTATACATAGTAGGACTTTTCTTACATATTTTGACAAATTATATAGTGATCAAACTTCATTAATGAAAAGATAAAATTGGAATTTCTGGTTTCTTTGAGAATCCTATTCATGTATTAGCCTCATACCTTACACTTCTGGATAAGACAGCTGTTTTTCTCATCTGAGAAGTTAATTCAGCACACGTTTGTTACCCTCTGATACTGGAATTCTGGCATTGACTACTCCTCCCACAGCCCCTTATCAGTTGGTTTAACACATACACACATTTCCTCCATGCTTGGTAGCATAAATGATCACGGTCTGCACATTTATTTCTGTACTGGAGAAATTGGATTTTGCTATAGAAATAAAACATATATGTTTTATTCTTCTTCAACAAAAGAGAAAAAAACCTCTCATTAAAAACATCTAACTAAATTCTAATGTTCTCTTCCTTCCCCTGCCAGCTGTTTACCAGTTTCATCAGTCTGATCTTTTTCTGCTCTGAGCTCTGCTCTGCACCGAAAGAAATATATATTTCCGTGTACACAAATATCTGCAGTAAGCAAGTCAAAGCCACAAGTCAAAAGGAATATTTTGCTCCTTGCCTTCTAAGGAGGAGGAGCTTGTTTTAACCACAGAGTCCATCAGCACCAAAAGACGTTTGTTTTTATCATTATCGCAGCCGTTTTGTTTAAAAAAGGAACATTAAGGACATACAGTAGTGATATTAGTGATTTTGTTCCATTCTTTCCTAAGAATTAATCACTGAAAAACTGCAATACAAAACACATTGTCTTTCAAATGCATTCTCCTCGTTTCTTAGTTTTCAGTTAAAGCACTTTCAATTTTGCTTCTCCTTAAATGGGGATTGTTCGCTTAATATTTTCCAGATGTCTTCAGCTATAACTCCCATGCTTCTTAAATACAATGGCCCAATAGGGTTTATGGCAACAGTCGTCCTGTCGTTCCATTTCTTTCTTCCTTTCCTCCCCCTCTTAATGTCATCTATATCATCTTTCATTGCTTTCCTATTCTTTTCTTTTCCTGGGTCTCTCTCTAAAAAAGGGAAACTAACATGTGCAAGAATGCCAGGGTGGAGGAAAATTCTGAGAGAAGTTGGGTGGGGTGGAAATTGTTATGTCCCACCAATAGAGTACATGGCAGGTGACAAGGATCTATTTGCACTTAAGGCCATAAAACAAGACTAGAGATAGAAAAGACTGAAATTCCCGACATATTGGTTCTAGGTGAGGATAGCCTGTGCTTGTGCATTAAACATGAGAAGGGAGCTGGCCATCTGAACTCCTCCGTCTGGGAGGGCTAGTGGTGGAAAGATCACCAAACGTCGCCGTTGCAGTGCTAGCGCTCCTTCTCTTTTCCATGCTCCCCTCCCGCTTTTCAGAGGATGAGGAGGGGATAGTCACTCCTGCTCCTCATCCAAGCGGAGAGCAGCTGCAGTCCTCGGTGGGAAGGAGGAGGGCCCAGACAGGCTGCCGGGCGACTGCGCAGTGGGGTGGAGACTGGCTTTGGCTGAGCCTCAAGCCCGTTTTTTTTGAAAGCGAAAGTGTCGTGGGCGCGCAGAGGCGTCTGAAAGGGGCTTGCGCGACTGCGTGGGAAGAGAGGCAAAAGGAGAGCTTGGAGGGGGTGGGAGGAGGCCGGCAGTCTCTATATCCGTCTCTCCGAGGGGAGGAAAGAAAGAAGTGTGGGGAGGGGGTGGGGGTGTTTTCCTTCAGCACTGTTGTTTAATATGAGGGTCCGGGGATCCTGGAAACTGGCGAGGTGATGTGTTTCGGGCGGGGGGCGGCGGCAGCGCTCCTGCTGCTGCCGCCGTCTTTGGAACCGCTGGAGAAGGAAGACAAGGAAGAGGCGGGGGCTGCGATCGAAGATATCTGCTGCCCGGCGGGCCCGGGCTCGGCGGCGACGGATGCCGCGGAGGGACGTGCGGCTGCCCGGTATAGCTGCTATTTTCTGGACGACGGCTGCCTTCGGGAAGACGGTGAGGACCGCCGATCGCGGAGGCTGAACCACAGAGCGGCGACGATCTGGAGAAGTCACGGCAGCCTTGAAATGTATTCCCCTTTCCCTCCCCGCCAGCGGCCATGTTAACCACCAGGAAACCGTCTGCCAGTGTCGCTGGTGCTAGTGCCGGTGGGGCCGCCTCGGCTGCTGCTTGCCCAGCCGGTAAGTAACAGCTAGCCGCAGCCGTCCTTTCTCCCCGGGATCCCTCGGTCCCCTCCCATTCCCCAGGCCAGGAGCGGCAGAGTCCGAAGGGGCGCGCGCGCGCGAGAGAGAGCGCGCGTGTCTGGGTGAAAGATAAATCGCCCCCCCCCCCGGTTGAAGCCCTTATTGCCAAAGCGTGCAGCCTTGAGCGGCCTCACTTTTAAACCCCATTTTAAATTCTCCCGGAGGGGCTCCTTGAGCTTCTAATGAATGGCAAGGTTTTCGGTGTGAGAACAGGCAAGTTTAGGTAAACGTGCCAGAGAGAAGCGCTTCTTGCACTGGTTTTGTTTAAAAATTGTTCTACCAGGAGGGGAGTCGTGGCTGGGGGAGCGGAGCCGAGTTCCTGCGCTCCTTCGTAAGAGGCAGCGGGCAGGCTAGATCGGATGAGGACTGCAAAACTCCATTTGCAGTCAGACTGGATTCGCCTCGGACTCCTAAATGCTGGTGTGTGTGTGTGTGTGTGTGTGTGTGTGTGTGTGTGTGTGTGTGTGTTAAGCATGGATAGGAGGTTTAGCTGGCTTAATGAGCGACGTATTCCGCTTTCATTGACACACTTGGTGTCCGTCCCCCCGCCTCGCTCCGATGCCTAGTTTAGGATCAACTCCCGCGGATCCCTCAGGCAATGTTGCGATGGCAGCCGGAGGAACAAGAGGAGGGGCGCTGGGGAAGGGACAACTTCGGCGCCCCCTTTCCATTTCCTCTGCCCCTTGTCTTCGATCCGGACCCTGCTCGGTCCCCCGTCATTTTCAGTGGGTTTCTTTTTGCCTCCCTCCGCAGGGAGCAGGGGAGGAGGAGGAGAAAGTAGCCACCCGTTCCAGTCTTCCCCGGGGATCGGGGCTGGAGGGACTTCCCGGACGGGCGCTGGGACCGGACTGCCGTCCCCGATCGCTTTGCCGCCGCTGAAGCCCAGCAGCGCAGCCCACACGGTGAGACTGGATCAAGGGAGGGGGGCTGGAGAAGCGTATGGCTTGAGGAGAAGTGGATCGCCTCTTAACCCCCTCCATTTCTGCTGCTCCGCCCTCCTCGGCTCAAAATCCTGTTCCGGCCCCTTAATTCCCCTTCCGTCCCTCTGCCTTTGCCACCCCACCCCAATTGCTCCTCCTCTCCCTGGTATTAATAGCAATAAATGTGCTTGGTACAGTTAGGCTGTCAGCCAGCCTGACTGAGTAGGATCTGTGAATGAGTGAGGGAAGGCCAAACAGGCTGGCTATGGAGGAGCCCTCTTAATTATCCCTGGCATGTCTCAACAGGTCCTGGTCTTGTTCCCGGTATGGTTTCAGCAGGTATTTGGGCTAAGGAGAAGGAAAGGCAACTTTTAGAGCCAATTAGGAATTTTCTCCCATGAAATTAATGTTCAAATTAAATGATGGAAGTGGATGAAATGCAATTATTGTAGTTCCGTGCTGCTGTATGAGGATGTAAATAAAGGATTCCCTGCCTTCCTCCTTGGAAAAATGGGGAGGGTCATTTGTAGGAACTGCTATTCATGCTTCTCAAATGAGAAATAGGTCTCTTGATTATTGATATTGGAAGGCTAATGCAATTTGGGCTCTGTGGAAATGAAACAAAACGATGCTACCAGTATGCCTGGACAACAGGTCCTTGTAACTAATGAAAACCCATAGTGTGTATGTGTGTATATCATGGGTCCTCTGGCTGTGTATGTATGTATGCATGTATGTATGATCTCACATAAGATTGAGAAAGATATATACCACCCATTTTTTTCTTTAATAATAAGCTTCTTAGCATTTCTGTTCAGTCTGTTGTGTGGTTAGTTCTTTCTTATTTTAAAAGAAATGACTTTAAAAAGCACTTCATTTTGTGATTAAGGGTGCTTTTTCCCCAAAGTGAAAAATTAAGTGTTACTGTTATCAGAGTAACTCAGAAGAATGGCCAGTTTCCAGGGGTACAAGTGGAAGGGCATTTAATGGGGAGCTGAGTGACCCTTACAATTTAACTTGATAACAGATATCCCTTGATATTATTTAAAGGGCTGTGGTTTCTCATTTCCATTCATTGCCATTCTACTACTAGAGACTGAGCTACCCAGGCATGATGTTCTATTTAGGGCATTGAAGAAAAATAGACTTGAATATATAGCTAGCTTGGTGAACATTATTTAACATTAGCTTTGAACTGAAAAAGAACATAATTTGCAGTTTATATGAAAGAATCCTATACATTCAAATAACATTTTCTTTTTGGGAATGTTTATAGATCCAACTGGACCTTATAGATCCTTATAGATCTAACTGGACAGAATTGGAAGACCGTTACAAATGCTTAATTGCCATTAAAATCATTACTCCTAAAATACCATAAAATTTTAGGAATCACATTTATTTACAAATGGCATTTCCCTTTATCTGAAAGGCTCCTTTTCCCCAATATGCATGGAAAACTGGTTGTTGCTGTGGGAAGAAGGCAGACAATCTGCCTCGTCAGGGATTCTCTTTTTATTAGCTTATATGCTTTGTATATCCTAAAAATCAATATGGCGTTAATCTAGTAAAACTTTCATGTATTAAGAGGTGGTTACAATAAAAGAGAAAAGCAATATGGATTCCTATATTTATCACTGCACTGATTTCAAATACTCCTGTGGTATTTGTTATCAGCTTTAGAATCTAATAATGTTACTACCAACATATTCAATAGGAGTTGTACTTATGTCATGAGGTAGCTAGAGTTAATTAAGAAATGCTGTCTCATTAGATGTGCTACCATGTATGCATAAGTAGATGTAAATGTATAAGTGTATAACAAGCAATGTGTTGTTGGACTGGAAATGGGGGAGACTTTGTTCAAAACCATCCTCGATTGGTTTAAAACACACCCTATGTGGTATTGCAGGGGAAAAAAAATAGAAGGCGAAAACCTATATATACTACCATAAGTTCCTGAACAAAAAACAGGATATCAATCTAACAAAAAATTTTAAAATGTACATGAACAAGTTAGATATCTATTGCATAAATCCAGTGAAAAGGTTAAAACCAGTGCATAGCTAGTTATACGCCAAATCAGGTAGATATGGATAATTTTAATTCAAAAAGAATAACATTTTAACGCGAATTTGCTCTTGATTTTCCCAAGTTTTCTTAATTGTCTCAGGATCCTATTATCGAAATTTTCTGTGAGAATCTTTCTCAGCTGTTCTTACCTCTTTTCAATATGTCTAGCTCATTTTACATAATAATCTGACCAAGTTGATATATAATCTTTGTCCTAGATATGCAAATTTGGAAAGATTGATATCACAAGGAAATATACTATGAAACACAGACTTCCCCTTATATAAAAGTAACTTAGTGAGTTTTGTCTCTTTAGTGGGGTAAGTGCTTCTTTGTTTCATAATATAAGACTCTTTGAGAGTTTAAAAACACAATGGAAAATTTCTCAGATGCTCAAGAGAGCATGTGTGTGGAAGTGTATGTACCATATAATAAGGGCTGGATTGTGTTTTCTATTTATGGCAGTTTGTGCTACTAAGCAGATGTATTGATGGCAGTTACAAATGTAGTGAACTCTGGCTACACAGCTTCTTTCCAGACCTTACCATCTCCATTACAGTGTAACTTCAACTTAACTTCACTGAGTAGTTCATCAAGTTTCAGACTCTTCTATTTCTTCATGGCATTCACTTCTAATTCAGCTCTTTTTCCCTACTTATCTTGATCCAATGGGCAGAATCCTATGTTTGGTCACTGATAGCTAGGAGTCAATTAAAATGATCATTAAAATTAAATCAAATCTTTATTAAGATCAAAACCAGTGGGGTGCATCATTATCTCTTTCTTCTCCACTGCTTTTGGTTCAATCACACAAAGACGACATTCTGCATCTATTTGTTTACATAGGTTGTCTGAAACTGAGTCTGATCACTGATCCATCTAGCCCAGACCTGTGGACATTGATTTGCTTCAGGATTTCAGTAGCTGCTCCAACACAAAATCCTTAGGTTGTCCTGCATTTAAAGTACTTGCTATACTCAAGTAATGATTTCCCCTATATTCTCTCTGCTACTTGTGAATACTACAGTACCTATTTTCCTTTTGGACAGTTTTATTGTTTTATGCTCATTGTTCTCAGTGATGTTTATGAAAAAAGTTATGTAAAGGCATTCTTTGTTGAATGCCTTTCCCTCAATCCTGAGGATTTTTTTTCTTTTATCTCTTCATCAATGTACTAAATTGAAAAACACTTAAGCCACTTCGGAAAAAATTACACACATGGACTTACTCTAATATCACACCATAAGGCCCAACTGCTGAAAAAGACAGCTATGTAATGGTGATTAACATAGAATATCTGACCTATTGCTTTGGTGTGAGGACATTTTGTGCTACTCTCATCGGTTGAGGCAGATGTTTAAGTTGAAGGTGGGGCATGGAATAGAGATAAGCTGCCAAATCCACAATCAACAAACTCTACATAGCTCTCAGTAACAAAACTGCAACAGATCCAGATTATAAAAGAAAATATGATAGGCCAGTGGTGGCGAACCTATGGCACGCATGCCAGAGGCGGCACTCAGAGCCCTCTCTGTGGGCACACGCACCATCCCTGGAGATGGCAACCATCCCTCTTCAACCAGCCACCCGCTAACTTGCCAAGGTCCCATATGGCTGGATCCATTCCAGCACCCATGCGCTCGCTGGCCTCTGTGTGCAGGGGCTGATGGCGTCAGGCAGCAACCGCCCTGGCCCCTGCTCATCTTGCCCTGTGACAATGGCACCCCCACCCTGCCTCGTCTTGCCTCGTCTCACCCCGCAGGATGAGCCTCCTGCCCACCGCCCCACCTGCCAGAGACCCCCTGGATCTCCCCCAACCCTGCCCAGCCCCCACAGGCATCCCTTCCCACAAGCAACATTGAGGTGATCATGCCCACCTTGGCCACACCCACCCAATCTGCCATGCCCACCACAGCCACGTCTATCTAGTGAGCCATGCCCACCTGGCACCTGGCGATAAATAAGTGGGTTTTGGGTTGCAGTTTGGGCACTTGGTCTCTAAAAGGTTCGCCATCACTGTGGTAGGCCTTATATAAGAAAATCTGTTTGGTATAAGGCAGTGGTGGCGAACCTATGGCATGGGTGCCAGAGGTGGCACTCGGAGCCCTCTCTGTGTGGGTACACATGCCGTTGCCTCAGCCTTGCCTCTGCCCGCGACCCCCTCCTCACCAGCAGCCTCCCTGGAGGACAGTCGCCCCGAACAGCATAGCCAAGGACATGGCAGCCAGGCAGCGTAGACAAGACTCTGCCCTCATGCCCCAACGCACACAGTTGATGCTGCAGGGCGTGGGCAGAGGGCATGGCCGCCATGGTGCTGCTGGGCTGCCTGGGCGATCTGTGGCAGGCCCTGGAGGTGGTGAGTGGCCCTGCGGACAGGCAGGGTGGGGCGGGGTAGGGGCAGGGCAGGGTGTGGAGCAGAGGTGGGGCCAGTTTTGGGGCACTTGGTCTCTAAAAGGTTCACCATCACTAGTATAAGGCATCAATCTAGAAACCAGGAGACTGTGAGTTCTAGTCCTGCTTTAGGTATAAACCAGGTGGGTAACTTTGGGCCAATCATTTTTTTCTCAGCTGTAGGAAGCAGGAAGTGGTTCTGAAATTTTGCCAAGAAAATTGGCAAAGGGAGGGGGAAGAAAATTGGCAAAGGGAGGGGGAAGAGATAGGGAGGGAGGGAGGGAGGGAGGGAGAGAGAGAGAGAGAGAGAGAGAGAGAGAGAGAGAGAGAGAGACTTTGTGTAAGCTAGAGTCCCAAGATTCAAGAAGTAAGTTATTATTTCAATAATAATAATAACATCCATAACTACCAGTACCTCTGATCATTGTACTATATGGCTGATGGGAGTTTGGTACCCAAGACTATAATGAAGTGTTTCGTAAGTCCCATATTAATGCTTGGTCACTTGTAGCTTTAAG